CTTTAAGTTAGGTTTTATTTATATTTTAATTTATTGTTTTTATTAAGGTCTTTTTTTAGTACATTTGATTTTATTTCAAGTTAGGCTACTTTAATTGCAGTAACTTATATACCCCCTCAAACGGAAGAGTTAATAGACATTTCCGAAGAAGTAGAAGATGAAGATTATGATACTTTAGTACCTAGAACAAGAGGGCCTATTAAAATAAGGGACAGAATTGACCATTTTAATAAATGGAATGAATCTGAATTTGACAACAACTTATAATAACTTGATAACATAACCTAAAACAGTGATGTTATTCTATAGCTGCATTCGCACTTTGCTGTCTGCTCTACTTTAGTTGCATTAAAATATAGATTAGTAGCGTAGCGTTGTGGTGGTTGTAGGAAACACTAGCCCAAAGGCCACCGAAGATTCCTTACAAATACACATTCAGGATTGCCAACCGCTTGAATTGCCGTTTATCTTAAACGAAGCCAGTAAAATGTTGGAGAAACCGAACACACATTTTAAACGGAGTTTAAAAATAAACTAGTTTATTATAAACGTAGTTTACACCATTTTGGGGAAACCGGGCCCTAATTATATAAATAATAAAAAAAACAAGGGTCTTTAGAGATTTCTTTATTTAATTAAGAAGGTTAATATAACCTATTGACCACTGTGCTTTTGCAATATTTAGTGTTATTTCCTTAGTGTAATTTGTATACGAAATAACGATGCATTTCATTTTATGACATCACTAGGTGCTACTGTTGCACTTTTACACTTTTACTTGTGTTTTAATGCAATTTACAAACTAAATTTCAACTATACCTACTTTTATTCTGTCCAGAGGTAGCTACTAATTATATTTTCTTCTATCATCTACTTAGCATTCTTTTTTTTTATTTACAGAAATCTCCTTAGTAGTTGTATATTTACAACACTGCTTTAATTTGGATGGTATCACAAAACTATAACTTTCACTTTTGTATCTAAAACCTGTAACGTAACTATGTTTCTTTACTTGATGTTTAAATAATGATGTAATTTAATGCAAATACATACACGTTTTGAACTATGGAACGAGTTAAAATAATTACTGTTATGTATTTCGTTGTTGGTTTATATTTAAATTGGTGAAATTTGTGCCCTGATTAACAATAACAGTGGTAGGCTTTCTAACAAAAGGTAATACAAGTTTTCCATTCATTTATTTTTGCTTATTATTGTGATATATAAACACTGATCTGGAGGTAAAGATTGAACTTTGAAAAAATATCATTAGCTACGGTAAAACATATCAATTATATGTGAAATCAATATAAACTATCTTTTCGCTGTACTACAGTGCTTTATGTTGTGCGATTATTTTTCCTTATTTACTTTATATGTACGTTTATGAACTAAATAAATGTTTAAGAAAGCTTATCATTTGAAAATTGAATCGTATGGGTACATTATTTCCATAAATGCATCAGCACCTCATATAATTCGTACTAGGTAGCCTTATAAGTTAGCCTAGCCTTAAAGAAAGATATTTGTCAAGCTAAGAGTTTCAATTGAGTTATGTTCCTGAAACCAAAGGGGAATGTGTAACTATTTTATACAACATAATTTAAGATCAATTTTTTTCGCTTCGGTGTCCTTTCCGTTGCGAAGCACGGGTACAACAGCTAGTATACAATGTAGAAGGGTTGTCAGAGATTTCTATATTTTATTAATAAGGTTAATATAACCACCTATTGACCACTGTGCTTTTACAATATTTAGTGTTATTTCCTAGGTGTAATTTGTATACGAAACAACGATGCGTTTCATTTTATGACATTACTAGGTGCTACTGTTACATCTTCAAATAAGTACTTTAGTAAAAAATATAAGATGTAGTGATGATGATTTCATTAAGAGTATTTTTAATTCATAAAATATAAAGGTATTTTTTACACAAAGTTTGCATGGTAAAATAGTGTTCAGCAGTTACACCTTTTTAAACACCAATAATTACACCAAGTCAAACAAAAATTTAAATCTTTAAATTATAAGAGTAGTTATAAGAGAAGTTAAATGAATTTGAAAGAGTTCATTGAGATTTGAACCTTTTGAAAATATAGTTAAAATAACTTAGTGAACAATTTTCTTTGAATAGATGCATACAAAACAAATTCTTTTTTAAGAAATAAATGTAAAATTAAAACCCTTCACCAAACTATCATTTACACAATTTAAAATGTATTTGAGAAGCTTTTCAGACAACAGTAAACAGAATTGTAATTTAATGAGTTTGCCGAGGACAGAGTCCTTCTAAGAAGATAAACATTATTCACGCTCAACGAACTGTATTTCAGAGCAAACACTCTCTCAAGATTGAGTTTTCAATGTCAGTTTCAATAAATTTGTCTATTAGTCTCTGAATTAGATTCCTAATTTGGTTGAGCATCATTTCAGTAATGGGCTTTGATAAATTACTGGGTTTTGAGCTTATCTTTATCAAGAATTAGTTAATAACCAACCAAATAATTCGCAAAGTATGCTACAGAGTTAAAAGAATCTATACATGAAACAAACTGTATATATTAATAATGTATATATATATATATATATATATATACATTTAATTGTAAAAAAATTATTTTAGGCATTAATTGTCTCGTTTTGTTTTTTGTTAGTTCACGAGAGTATGTAATTTATTGCATCTAAAATACTCCACTGGTATATTTGAACTATTATACTTTTATAAATTTATCTGGAATGTCGACCATAAAAAGATATTTGAAGCCAAGTATTTATGAAGATGAGTAGGTTGAGTGGCGTGATCTAGTAGTTTTGTTTCTAAGGCCGACATGTTCCTTAGAGAGGACTGTTAATTAAAAGCCTAAACAGCCAATGGTAACTATGGGACCTAAAGTTTATAGTGGAATCCCAATCACATTTTTTCCTACTAATTTACGAATTAGTCTAATCATCAGGATGGTCCGCCTGCACTTCGTAGGGAACTAAAACCTACAATATACTACCGGATGAAATATTAAACTGACATAAAAATCGATCAACATTTTCCAATCGATATAAATATTGATTTTATGTTATGGGGCTAGTCACGAGTGTAGCCACTCTTAGTTTTAGTTTATGAAACTAATGAAAAATACCTCCGCCACAGCAAACCTACAGTGTAAGCGAATTTTCATTTCCCTGATTGGTTTTTCACAAAAATATATCCTTAATAAAATCTGTTATTTGATTCCCTTAAAACCACACGAAGTTTAATGCGTTCGTACTTTTGCTAATATAGGTAAGATAATAAAGAATGGATTTTATTAAAATTATAATCATAGCTAGGTATGGAATAAATACATTTGCCATATTTGATGTGGTAACTTTTTTTCGCTTTTTTATTATATAAAACGTTTTTTTTTATAAATTACGTTTTTTAGGTTCCATTTTTAAATTATATAAATCTATAAACAAGCAGACGTTAAAAGTTTTTTGTATTTCTTTTTTTGTTAAGACCGTGGTACTTAATTTAAGTTGATTATTAGTAGTTGTTTATCTAGCAAGAAACTTACGTTACCTCGTAATTACTTTTGGTTTAATTTCAAGAAATAATTTTTTTGTGACGCGAAGCAATGTGTATTCGTCAAAGCAATGAATTTTAAACTTGCCAATTCTTTCAATTGTTTACATTGTTTTTATTGATCATCACTCAAGATCAATATTTGTTTTCTTTCTTTTTATAGAGATTGAGTAACAAATAAATATTTTTCGTCAGTGTACTGACTCATTTATACAATGCGACTAACTACAACCGTCCATATTTTACCAAGAATCCTGATTGACTATTACTACAAGATATGCACATTCCATGTTAATATTGTAAGTACTGCATTAATATAGGTGAAGTATTCAGTAAAAAGTGTCTTTGAGAAATCTACCCAGGGACAAAAGTGTACTCCAAGATCCACTGTATTTCAGTGATTGATTCAAACTGGTAAGTAGGACATAATAGTATGCAATATTTTCCTCTTCGCCATAAAGGTTAGCAAGGGCGACTATACAAATGTCCACTGCAGAGTTCTGATGGTAGAGGCAAAAATGAGCCTATCAACAATATCGATGAATCTAAAGATAGCTCTTCTAAGATCTTTTTCAGGAACCAGAGCCAATACACTTGGAAGATAACATTATTAAGAAGTACCTAAATCTAACAAAATTTTTTAATTGATAAATAATAAAAATGTATTAGAAAACGAAAATAAAAAAATTATTTTACTTAATTGTCAGTGGATAAACAATGTTTTTGTTTTTTGATAAGGTGTATAACTATATAACTTTTTAGGCGTAAGTTACTCTTTTATGTTTACATATTAAATAGTGGAGAATTTAAGCGTTGTTAAGTGCACAGGTGTGCTGCGATTGGGGCTTAATATCTTTAAACATATCCAAAAGTAAAATAGTTTTCTGTGCTGCATTCTGTGGAAACAGTGTGACACTATTTCAAATCATGACTAATACAGAATGTTGTAATGATTCAAACCTACAAAACAGTTGGTGAATGTAAACATCTGATTTTAAATTATATTTATTTGTAAACATTGTAGTTACAAAAATCTGACATTGGACCCTTAAACCCTCTGGGGCAGAGCCCTTTTGACAGATCTGCAACAAACTTCACACAAACCACCATCCTTGAGTAATGCTTATTAATGCCTGAAAGTTTCATTACAATCTGTCGAGCGGTTTCGGAGTCCGTAAGGTACATACATACATGTAAACTAACTTCAAATATGAACCGATTCTCAATAAAGTTAAATAAAATCAGTCTCAAGTTAGTTGGAACAAATTTACTATTTCTTTTTCAACACACACTGTTTACATTCATGTTTCTACTATTATAATTAAACATCTGTTAATATGTCATATCTTTACAAAGAGGATAATATTGAATTATATATAACAATATTACATTTTATAACACACTCCCCCTTTTTTTTGCGAGTTCGCAAAATAAGAAGTCTTTATTCAGTCCTTCTCCGGTAACTTCCAGTGGGTACAGTCGTTGTATGGGTCAATCTGTTAATTTCTTTCACTCGGTTTTCAACAAAAACAGACCACTTCCCTTGCTTTGCAATCCATGCTAGAACTACGGTGGAGTCCAGCCAATAATAAACTGGGACTTTGGGGTTGTTGAGACACTGTAAAGCTAGACATGAGAGTCTCACACCAGTAATTGCACCCATTAACTCAAGACGAGGTAAAGTAATTGGTTTGATTGGTGCAACTCGTGATTTGGCTAATATAAGATTTATGTCAATGATACCATCTACTTCGGATCTTAAGAATATACAACATCCAAAAGCAGCTTTACTGGCATCACAAAAAACATGTACTGTACTTGAAGCATTCAAAAATATTCTCCTACTCAGTACGCACATTTTCAGACAGCCAAGTTCCTCGACCCATTTTTGAAACTGTACCTGTAGGTTTTGAGGTAGTTCTTCATCCCAACCTACCTTCAACGTCCAAGTCGTTTTCAAAATAATTTTGGGAATCAGTCCAACCGGAGCAGTAAAACCAATAGGATCGAAAACCTTTTGAGCACATGATAGGAATGTCCTTCTGGTAAGTACTGAGTCTTTGATATTCAAAGGTTGAATATTACAGTACAGTTCATCTTTAGAGCATAACCATCTAAGTCCCAAGACGTTCTCAACTTGGTCAGGAGTTTTAAAGTAACCGTTACCAACCCAACCCCTTAGGTTAAAGCCTTCTAGCTTTAAAAGTGTTTGAGCATCATTTATAAAATTCTCTTGCTCAGAAATACTGTTCACTCCCGTAAGGCAATTGTCAACATAAAAAGTTTTTAGCAAAGCCTTGGCTACATGCCTAAGATTGGTAGGAGCGTTTTCCAGAAGATTATTTAATACTGCTCCCAAAAGAAAAGGACTACACGACAAACCGAAGACAACTCTAGCATGGCGGTAAACGATCACATGATTGTCTTCCCACCACAAAAATCGTAACATGTCTCGATCATCATGGTCAATTCTAATTTGTAGAAAAGCCTTTTCAATATCTGCCGTTAAAGCAAATGCATGTAACCTAAAATTAGTCAGTACCTTAGGTATTAACTCTATCAAGTTAGGTCCAGACTCAAGACATCCATTAACAGAATATCCATTTATGTCTTTAGCGGAAGCGTCAAAGACAGGTCTGATCCTCGTGGTGCTTCCCTCCTTGACAACAGCCCGGTGTGGTAAATAGTGACTTTTCAATGGCTGTAAAATGTTTTCATCTGTCACTCGCTCAATGATGCCTTTGGTCAACCAATCCTTCAATACTAAATCATAATCAAGATACATATTGCACTGTTTCAACTTACGTGTTGTTGACAACAGACGTTTTTTGGCTACTTCACGGTTCCTATCCAGAGGGGGGTGGTCTTCAATCCAAGGTAGTTTTACCTCGTAGCGTCCATCCACATCTCTGGCGACAGTGTCTTTGAAGAACGCTAAACATCTCTATCTCTCTCCTCTTTCTGTTGCTTGACACTCGGATCCATTATACTCATTGTCTCTAGTTCCCAAAATTGCCTAATATCTTGTGAAGATTGAAAAGCCACAAACATGGAGGAGACAAAAGAAGATTCCTCATCAGACGTGCCAACAATTGTCCAGCCCAATCGAGTTTTTACAGCTACAAGTTGCTCGTTTACCTTATGAAACTCTGGAGTGATGATCTGTGTCCAAACGTCAGCTCCTAATAAGACATCAATACCAGTGAAGTCATCGCCGTCACAAGAAGAAACATCAGTCAGAAATATGTTTTCTTTCTCTAAACGAGTGATCAAGCTGTAATCACAAAACTTAGGAACATGATTACATATAACATGTTGTTCTACAACGTTGACACTTATCCGAAAGTTCTCATTTATTGAGCTCAAATTTAATTCATAGGTGTTATGATATTTAGGACCGGTTTGTTTACCTCCAAAGACTTCTTGCTGGATCAGAACTTTACCATTGCTTGAGAGACTTAATTTAGATACACAGAGACTAGAAATGAAGCTTTTCTGTGAACCTGAGTCACATAAGATTCTAACCCTTTTCGGTTCCCCATTTACATTAACAAAGGTATACAAAGTTTGTAAATAGGTAGTTTTACTTTTGTTGTTCAAAGTCGAAAATGAACTAGTACTTTGAACCGGAGTTTGTTTTGACTTGTCCTCACCACTCGGCTTGGATTCATTAGTGGTAGGGATCTTTTGACATAAGATTGCCAGATGTTTACCCATACAGATGTGACATTTTACCTGAATCCTGCACTTACTTGCTAAGTGTCCCTTCTTCAAACATTTAAGACACAACCCCTTTTTCTTTGCAATCTCGGTTCTTTCTGAGGTTGTCTTATCAAAGATGGAAAAACAATCAGATGAATTGTGAGTTGATTTTCCACAAAATGCGCAAAGATTCTTATTAGGGTACATATCTGTGCTCATTTTAGGATCCTGATGTCCATCAGACGATACCAGAACTGCTGCTGAAGGTGTCTTAGGCTTACCAGTTCGTTGTTGTTTCTGTGAATCTTTATTTACTTTGTTATTTTCACTACTAACTACCCCAAAACATCCTTCTCTCAACTTAAATCTCTCCTCTGCCTCGACTTCCGTCTTTGGGAACAACAATAGCTCTCGTAAGCAATACCAGGTTCCATTGTGGTCACATTTTTGCCTACTCGATACCTTTCCCAAACTTTAAAAACATTCTCTGGTATTGAAGTTTCGACAAGAGGGAATAACATAGCGGCATATTTTTCCTTAGTGACGCCCAAAGTTTCAAGAGCCCGCAGCTGCACTTCAAGTCTATCATAGAGGTTAGTGACAGACACCTGGCTACTTTTACTTAACACTAAGGTCAACAGCTCCCTTACATAATACTCGATTAGTAATTCGTCTTTGCCAAATCGAGATTTCAAGAGCTCGATTACTTTATAATAGTTTTCCTGAGACAAAGGAAAACCCTCGATCAGTTTTAGAGCCGCGGAACCTGGTGTCATTGATTGAATTAAATATTCGAATTTATCCTCATCACGTAGACTCTGATCATTATGGATTTTCGAAAACTGTGACCAAAATCCAATCCAATTTTTGAACTGCCCGTCAAATTTCTTTAGTTCAATTTTTGGTAAACGAATTTTGGTTTCATGTTTAGAGGGGTTCAACTCACCTCGGTCGCTGCAGGGTGAGGTTTTTACCAGGTTTTTGTATTGGGCCTTCATGTTGAACCACTTGTCTCGAAACTCTAACGAAGCGTCGTACTCTGCGTCCAGGTCAGCGTCAGAAGTGTTCTCGCCTAGCATCACGTCTTGTATCTGTTCATCCATAGTGAAGAGATTGTCACATGTCGCCTCCATACTTAAATATTGTGTTTCAATGGCTACCAGGAGTTCTTCTTTTGGCAAATCTTCTTTTAAAACATTTTCAAAATGATTATGTGCTTTCAAAAATTGTCGCCGAAGCTGTCTTCTCTTCCTGTTTAAACGTATTAGGTCATCTGCCATTTTTTATTAGTTGACCTTCAGGTTTTATACAATAATTAATACTTCAAAATAATTTATTCTTTTAATAATCCTGGCAGGGTCGCCAAAAATGTAAACTAACTTCAAATATGAACCAATTCTCAATAAAGTTAAATAAAATCAGTCTCAAGTTAGTTGGAACAAATTTACTATTTCTTTTTCAACACACACTGTTTACATTCATGTTTCTACTATTATAATTAAACATCTGTTAATATGTCATATCTTTACAAAGAGGATAATATTGAATTATATATAACAATATTACATTTTATAACACATAGTTCCTCTTTTATAGATATAGATAGGGGGTAATCGTAAATTAGCTCTTTCATGCGCCCAACGTTTTTCTTTTTAAATCTTATTTCCCAAAAGAAGTTTTACTTGAGATAAATGAAAAAAATGCATTTAGTCTTAAATATTTCGCCGGTAAAGTTGAAGTATCGATTAGAAAGGAAGCTTCTCGCCTTAAGGGATGTATTACTGCGCTTACTCGTTATTTTAAACTTCGCGATACCAAACTAGAGATTTTGATGAAACTTCTCTTTGTTCTAATCACTTCTTTCTTTTTTCCTCGCTCTTTTTTCTAGGTAAGTATTATGTATAAATAAAAAAAAAATATATATGTTATTTAAATGTTTCTTCGAAAAATAGTGTTTCAGCAAAGATGCAAACCATTATATAACAACACCAAATATATATCACAATAGGCTGACAATTTTAAGAATACTTTCTAGTTTTACTTTTTGAATCGTAAAGAATTATATAAATATTATTTAAATATAATACCTTGTTATAATATTGTATATTCAAGAAATAAAAGCTATCGGTCTCCAAAACAAACCAATCCAATAAACTTTTTACTTACGGGAACTGAAAAATAAACTAAATAAAAATTAGGTATTCATTCACAATTTAAATAAATAAATAATTGTACCAAGAGGCTGTTTGTTATCTACAAGAGCGACCTAAATGATGAATTGTCACAGAGATAAACAGCTGATCGTGCCGTGTGCATACAGACGTGTGATCCAAGTCGAGTGTTTACTTCCTAATTGATACAACCTTTCCACACTTGGTAAGTCTACATTTCAAATGCAGCTAGTTTAAAACCAAATAATTCTCAAACTTATTGTATAAATAGCATTTATAGTGTTTGGACAATGTTAAGTTCTCTAAACCTGGTTAAACTATACATACATGTGGTTACAGTGGTTTTCAGATAGAAAATTTGTTCAAACTATAGATTCTCCATTTTATTTATACAAAATGGTATTGGAATTAGGCTTATAAAGTAAAAAACAAAATAAATTGTAAGTAAATTTAATGGATTGAAGTGCAAACAATGAATATATTAGTACAAATTAGTTCGTTTAGAAAACAAAATTAAGATTTAATTTAATTTATTTGATCAAACAGATTCACAAAAGGTATTTTTATCAATTGTTTTATATTATTATGATTTTTTATTGAAGTCTAACTCTTTACTAACATTATTTTAGACAGTGAGATTCTTTAAACATAACTGTAAAAAAGTGACATAAAAATCAGAAGTGATGTCATAGGAACTTTACGACAGTAAATAAATTGCATGCAATATTAGATTTTACCACACAAAATTAAACCTAGTTTGAAGTATTTATTTTGTAATGAAATCAACAATCGATGTTTCCAATCACGGTAGCGAAGTTGTGTTGTCGGGCTGGTAAGACCGGCCTGCACTATCTTGTAGACTTGTAGAGGTTGGCGTTATTTAACTTAACAGTCACGTGAATACTGAAATTTAACATATTGCCCCGGTAAAAGATTACTTCTGGATGTCCTATTATTTGAGTAACATTCTATTTAAATGTACAAAACAAATAATTATCCCAATAATAGCGTCTTCCTGTAATAGATGACAATATATTACTGAGAATACAATTATTTTTGTAACGGAGAGGACCACTAAATAATTTAGTGCCTTAGTAATACTATCTTTTAATTACGTGTAAACTGTTAAAACGAGTGACTGAAATAACGCCGGTTCTTTCCTCTATTAACAACGATCAACACGAAATTTATCTTAGTAATACGAACATTTTTGTAACATCGTCGAAACTGACGAAGGAACAAGTTGGAAGGAGCAAACGACGTAACTGCGATCGTGTTTTCGTGTACTGTATGTATGTGTCTTCATTTTACCGGAGAGCATATGGAAATAATAACGTTCCTTGATAACAAGAGTACTTGCAAACGAAATGGTTGAATAAATTAAATTGTCCTACAGTTACCTAACAATGTACTTGTTCTCCCACTGATTTGAGAAAGCAAAGAGGCCAATTCACTCATCAGTGAGACAATTTTAACATTGTCTCACTCACTCCAGATTTGCAACGTGAAGGCACGAAATATTGAGCGCGTAACATGCAGACAAGGTCGTATGCGCGCGAAATACGTTGGCAGCACTGGCTGTAAATCAGCTGGTCAGATGTTGTACTGTTAATTATAATATTAAAAGTTCACTTCTCTGTAAAAATATGTCACGTTTTTTAACAATTTATTTGTTTTGATTAATAACACCTTGTTTGATTAATCTTAATTGATTTGCCCTAGGAGTAGTTATTGACACCATTGTGGTTTATAAACTTTGCCAACCATTAATTAATAAACTATTTCGTAGCCTAGGAGTGATCTATCACATATCATTAATAGTAATTAGGTTGAAAGCTAGACCAGTAAATAAATTAACTCTCCAATTTCAAGCAGAGGCCATGAAACTTGTTAATGTCACGGTCTTGAGATC